AAAAAACTTTTAATTTTAATTTTTTAAAAATTAAGTCCATTCAACCTAATATGAAACTTATGTGGATAAGTCATAAATCAAATTTTGTAACTTGACACTCAAAATGATCAAATCCAAACAATTCAAGATATACGGTGACATGAATTCTACCAAGCGATATAATGATCGCGCATCTTTTTAAAATTGATAAGTTATTCACCATATTTAAAGACCAAAATTTTAATTATTAACATCTAATAATACGAAGTTACTAGCTATTGCTCTTATAAAAAAAATCTACGATGACACAATTCGATCCTACCCAATCGTACCTGTTTGCCAGCTGTACCTGTTTCTGTCTGCCTGTATTCTATTTTTTTTTTTTTAGGGTTTACTATTTTTATAAAACACCATTTGCCTTTTAAAATTTGAAAGACCCTCTACCCCCTAAAGAATAAAAAAGTTCAGATTAATCTGTGTGCTAAGATGGGCCACCTCTAATTTGGGAATCATCTTGGATGAAACCAACCAACAATCCTTTCTGTTTCTCGCCGATTCAAGGCCATGTTAGTTTCACTCAAGGTCCGTTCCTTCTTTTTCATCTCATGTTTTTTCATGGGTGTCTTTTTTCTTTTGGCGTTTCCGCTCCAATTATTGATTTTGGTGGGGTTGCATTTTGAGTTCTGCTTTCTGGGGTTTTTTTTTTTTGCTTATGTTTTCTCGATTTTTCTGAGCTGCATTAAGGTGGGTCTGGTGGTGATTTCTGGGAAACAGGAGTTGTAGCTTAAAGTTTCAGGCTTTATGGATTTGGGTTGCCGAGAAAGATTTAAAAATAATGCACCTTAGGTATAGGACAGGAAATATGAATTCGTTATCAGTTAAGCTATGTTAATCTGGAATTCTGTGTGTTGTTTTGGGTTGTTTCTATATTCTTTTTCCCTTTGGGACTTTTTTTTTTAGACACGACTAAAGGATTTTTATTCATTGCTTGAGGTCCGGAGGTTGGTCTTTGTTCAAAAGTTTCAATCTTTAGGTTTAGGGGATTGTATGTAAGTTCCCGCATTATGGGTTGTTCAGGATTTCTTAAGATTATATGTTTAAGGATTTGAGTCATTTGACATATTCCCCTGGTGTTAATGAAGAATGCTTTTATGGCCTAGGAAACATATAAATCAAACTTGTTTTTAGCTTGTATTTTGATAGTTTCGATTTTGAGTTAAACCATAGTGGTGACTAGTGACAAAAGGATCTAACTGCTTGTGAACTTACAGATATCTGTTTGCCAGTGGAGAAAATAGGGAGCAGACTTTTCTCCAACCTTCTGTGAGATACCTTGTGCCTATGTGCTCCTTCATGTGATTTATTTTAGGCAACTAGAAGGTCTAAAATTGAGGTATATTTATAATTGAAAAAAGTGGAAGCACGGAGGAGCCAACAAGGATCTTGTTAAATGGATCACTTTGATTCAAGAGAAAGAGAGCTTAAGGTAGATATTGAAAGTGGTGGGACTTCTAGTGAAGAGGAAAGAACCAATGATAATGTTTCAGCAAATGGACAAACAAAGATGACTTTCAGTAGGGTCTGGAGTGGGCTTTTAAGTTTTGATGCATTAGGCAAGGGTGAATCTGGCATCAATTCATGCAGCCCTTCATCAAGTTTTGGTGGGGTTGAATCCAAGAATATGGAGTTGTTGATAGACAAGAGTTCAGGAGAGAGTCCTGAGCATAAGGCGCTATTGGAGAAGAATCATGGAGAAGAGAAGCAGAAGAAGACAAATGTTAGGAAGCCTCCCAAACCACCACGACCACCAAAAGGTCCAATCTTGGATGCAGCAGACCAGAAATTGGTGAGGGACATTGCTGAGCTTGCTATGAGAAAGCGTGCCAGAATGAAACGAATTCAAGCATTAAAGAAGATGAAGGCCGCAAAATCATCATCTACAAACAGCAATCTATCAGCTTTCATTGTTACCCTTCTGTTCTGCCTTGTCATAATCTTTCAAGGTATCCTTACATCTTAGAATTTTCAAGGTACCATAGTTGCCAATGCATGACTAATTGACTGGTGTTGATTCATACTTTACTTAATATGTCAAACAACCACCAATCCTTGTGTACTTTTTTCATTCTTTCTTCAAAGAAGGAAATTATAAAAAAAAAAAAGTATAAATTGTTGAAACTCATGATGTCTACTCTTTTCTGTACATTTTTATCTGAGAAAAAGAATTTTCATGCTTTAATTCTCCACTTGGTCATGGAAAATGATTTCTTGAAAATTATAGGAAACATGTCTTTTTGATATATACATGAAAATCAAAATACTTGGATAGGTAAAGCGTATCATTTCCCCTTTTTGGGAAACAATTTCCTCCATTGGAAAGGGGAAGCTGTTCTCCAAACTTTTTTCTTTTATTTTGTTTTGAATGAAATTAATATCATTATATTCATGAGTCATGGTAGTTATAATTTCCAATAAGTCACTTTCCAATGAATGAAACAGACTCTAAGTTTCAAGTTAATCTGTTAATGTTAGATGGCTTGTGACCCAAAAAATGAAAGGATGAAAAAGAGCTACATCAATGTTCATTTATCCAAAAACAAAGAAATTGTTAGATTGCAATGAACATTGGATGAAAACTTGTGAAATTTAGGGAAAGTGTCATTAATTTGGATCTTATTGCCTTTGAGAATGGATGGATAATTTTAAATGTGTCAACTGCAAATTGTAACTTGTAAGATACATTTAATTTCTGATTTCTGAATCTTAGGCTTAAGCAGATTATACCTTTGGGTTGAATCAGTTTTTGTGGATTTTAGGTTCTTTGTCCTTAATTCCATTGTCTTAGAAGTAAGACATGTAATCCTCCTTGGATTCTCTTGTCCTCCTTTGCAATCAAATTTTGGTTTGTATAATTGTGTTAGTTTCCTTTATTATAGTAGGCTTGTTATGTTTGTAATATAAATGCCCTCCAGGTTGACAGAAATGGAGTAACATGCTCAGTAAGCTGGCATTTCCTTTTTCCAATTTTGATATTAATTACTCAATTGTATACCATAATTGTGGTTGAACCGTTGAAAAAATCATACCGCCACCCAGAAATGTTACTTGATTTGTTTTCTCTCAGTTCCTTTTTACTTTAGCAAAGCTGCCTTGCCTCTCTACAGAAAATTTAAGGTTCAGAATCCTAGATTTCGTCCTCTGGAGGTGTTTCTGCTGTCTAAACACACTTTTGCTTGCAGGATTATGTTCAAGAAGTAGTGGTGGGACGTCCGATGGATCTCCTGCACCAGCGGTAGCCTCAAGTGAAGCTTTGGTTTCTATTCAGTTTTACAAAAAATTCTCAAACGAATGAAAGAAGTGAACCTAACCCTACTGCTTTCCTAGGTGAGTATTCCCCTATTTATATATTTTTTCTCCGTTTACATTTCTTCCTTCCTATCTTGTTTTCATCTCTAATCCCGGTTCAAGGATTCTCATTTGTATCCTGCACACCAACTGTATAAATTGCAAGAACACTTCAGGCACAGACATGGTTTTAAATTTTTAAACAGTGATTCATGTTGATGCAGTTTTGTTGCAGCGAAGAAACCAGCAGATTCCGAGAATGGGATGGATGAAATTATACGAATTCCCATCATTTTGTCATGTAAGAATCTGCTATCTTGGTTTGAATGGTCCTTTGTACAAAAAGAAAAAAACTTGGAGGGAATACTTGACTATGATGATTTTTTGTATATATTTATTGAATTTGTAAGATGTAGCTTGTGAAGTAAAATATGCGGTTTAAGATGTAGCTTGTGAAGTAAAATATGCGGTTTAAGTTTCACTTGCTGTATCTTACCCTTCATTTCCTGAGTAAGCTGAAAATTTACCAAGCACAAAATTACCCAGATGCAATGAAGGGCTGCCCTACTAGACCTGGTAAAATTAAATTTGATTTGAGAATTCTATCCAATTCATTCTTATAGGTTGGGTCTTGGTTCTAAGTGTTGATCCAAAATTTGATATGACTGTTTGAATTTGATTAGATAGGGTTGGGATAACTTAAAATGGTTTGATTAAAATAAATTTAT